ACTCTATTTTGCTTGATTTACGTAATTTAGATGTTAAAATTGATGATGAGGATGCTGCGTTGATTTTACTTGTATCTCTACCGTCTAGCTTTGAGAATTTTGTAGAGTCTTTTGTTGTTGGTAAGGATTCTATAACCTTAGAAGAAGTGAAGGCAGCACTTCATACTAGGGAACTCAGAATGAAAGCTACGAGTGATAATGGGGATAATGGTAGTGGGTTATTTGTTAAGTCCGGAAAGTCTAAAAAGAATAAGGGGTTTAACAAGGGGAACAATGCTGGGTCGGGTGCTGGAAACGGCAAGGATGGATCTAGTAAAACTACTACTAAAACATGTTATTACTGTAAAGAACCGGGTCACTTTAGGAATAATTGTCCGGTGAGGAAAAACAAGTCCCAGGCTGCTGTAGTTGAAGAGAAACCGAATGAGAGCTATAATTCAGAGGAAGATTTAGCATTAGTCAGTTCTGCTAGGTCTGATGATTTATCTGATAACTGGGTTCTAGATTCAGGGTGTTCGTTCCATATGTGTCCACGTCGAGATTGGTTTGATACATATGAACCTCGCAATGGGGGTATGGTTATAGTCGGTAACAATGCTCCATGTAAGGTCACAGGTATTGGTTCCATGAGGTTGAGGACTGTTGATGGGCGGAGGTTAACTTTGACTAATGTACGGCATGTTCCTGCTTTAGGAAAGAATCTGATTTCATTGGGTACCCTGGATGAATTGGGGTACAATGGTGTGTTTTCAGATGGGGAGTTGTGTATTTTCAGAGGTTCTGAGTTGGTACTTAAGGGTATCAAAAGGAACACCCTCTATGTTTTTGAGGGTGTTACACTGCCTAGTTCTGCGGTTTGCGCATCTGTATCTCACCAGGAGATGACTAAGATTTGGCACATGAGGCTTGGTCATATGGGGGAGAAGGGGATGCAGCTATTGTCCAAGAGGGGTCTTCTATCCGGGGTCAAGGTTGCCAACCTTGAATTTTGTGAGCATTGTGTGTTTGGTAAGAAACACAGGTCAAAGTTCAGCAAGGGTGCTCACATTACTGATGCAGTGCTCGATTACATCCATTCAGATTGCTGGGGTCCATCTAGAGTTGAAGGTATGGGAGGTTACCACTATTTTGTGTCATTTGTTGATGACAAGTCCCGATACACATGGCTTAGGTTGCTTAAGTCAAAGGATGAGGCCTTCAAAGTTTTCAAGCAATGGAAAGCTTTGGTGGAAAATCGACAAGGAAGGAAGATCAAGAAGCTACGAACGGACAATGGGCTAGAGTTTTGCAAAGACGAGTTTAATCAGTTCTGTGCAGATGAGGGTATAGGTCGGCATCATACTGTCAGGAAGACACCACAGCAGAACGGTGTAGCAGAACGGGTTAATCAGACACTGCTAGAGAGAGTTCGATGCATGCTCTCTAATGCAGGGCTTGGGAGGAGGTACTGGAGTGAAGCTGTGTTAACAGCTTGTTATGTCATTAATAGGGGTCCTCATTCTGGAATTGATTCCAAGATTCCGTTTGAGATCTGGAGTGGTAAGTTGCCTAATTTTTCGAATTTGAAGATTTTTGGTTGTGTTGCTTATTATCATGTTATTGAGGGTAAGCTGGATCCACGAGCCAAGAAGGGGTGTTTTGTTGGGTACGGGGATGGTGTGAAGGGGTTTAGAATTTTTTCACCTTCGGAGGGTCGGGTCATTCTTAGTAGGGATGTTACTTTCGATGAAAACACCATGTATTCAATTAAAAATGCAGAGATTTCAGATTTGAGAAGGGAAGGAGACAATTTATTACAGACAGATGGGGTACTTGAGGTACATCAGTCTACCATTGCTGATTTACCTCGGGTACAATATATTGATGATGATGCTGATGTTCCAGTGCCGGGTACTCCTGAACCTGAGATTACTCCTACTCATTCTAACTCTGGGGATGAGGTGGAGCAATCTAATCAGGGGTCATCTAGTCAACCTGACACCATTCTTGAGATGCCTAAACGAGTTATCAAGAAGCCTGTTAGATTGATTGAAGAGATGGAGGGAAGAAATTGCTGTGTTGATGCGATGACAGGTTATGCATTGAGTGTAGCTGATGATGTAGAGTCATTTGAACCTGCCACATATAAACAAGCAATTAGTTGTAGTGAGTCTGCGCAATGGCTTGCCGCAATGGGTGAAGAGATGCAGTCTCTTTACAAGAACAGAGTGTGGGAACTGGTAAAGGTACCGGAAGGGAGGAAGCTTGTGGGTTGTAAATGGATTTACAAGAAGAAAGAAGGGTTGTCGGAAACTGAGCAAATACGTTTTAAGGCTAGGCTAGTTGCTAAGGGGTTCAGTCAGGTAGAAGGGGTTGACTTTGTTGAGATATTCTCACCTGTGGTTCGACATACTTCTATCCGTGTGTTATTGTCAATTGTAGCACATTTTGATCTTGAGCTGGAGCAGTTGGATGTTAAAACGGCCTTCCTTCATGGCGATTTGGAGGAGGAGATTCTGATGAAGCAGCCCGAAGGATTCGAAGCTCCTGGAAAGGAACACTATGCCTGCAGATTGCTAAAGTCATTGTATGGACTTAAGCAATCCCCCCGACAGTGGTACAAAAGGTTTGATTCTTTTATGGTTTCACAAGGTTTTGACAGGAATTCATATGATTGCTGTGTGTATCATAGTAAGCTGGATAATGGTTCCATGATTTATCTTTTGTTATATGTTGATGACATGTTGGTTGCCACAAAGAATAAATCTGATATTGCTAGATTAAAGGAGATGCTTAACTCGGAGTTTGACATGAAAGACTTGGGTGCAGCTAGGAAGATTTTGGGTATGGAGATCTACAGGGATCGGGCTAGAGGTAAGCTTTTCTTGACTCAGAAAAGCTACATTGAAAAGATTTTGTCTCGTTTTGGGATGGAAAAATCGAAGCCTATAAGTACGCCAACTACTGTTAGTTGTAAGTTGTCTTTGTCTATGTCACCTCAATCAGAGGAGGAGTTGTCTTATATGTCTAGAGTTCCATATGCGAACGCGGTTGGTTGTTTGATGTATGCTATGGTCTGTACTAGGCCGGATATTGCGCATGCTGTTAGTGTTGTAAGCAGGTTTATGGCTCGACCTGGGAGGGAACACTGGCAAGGGGTGAAAAGGATTTTTCGCTACCTGAGAGGGACAGCTGATATTGGTCTTGTGTACGGGAATGGTAAGGAATGCTTGGTCACTGGGTACAGTGATTCTGATTATGCAGCTGATGTGGATACCAGGAGATCTGTGACTGGTTATGTGTTCACTTTGGGTGGTTCTGTGGTTAGTTGGAAGTCTACATTGCAGTCATCAGTTACGTTGTCAACTACTGAAGCTGAGTATATGGCTCTAACTTCTGCAGCTAAGGAGTCTATTTGGCTCAAAGGCCTAGTAGGTGAACTGGGTATTGCACAGGATTTTGCTACAGTGTATTGTGATAGTCTAAGTGCGATTTGCTTAGCTAAAGATCAAGTACACCATGATCGGACGAAGCACATTGATGTCAGGTATCATTTCTTACGTACTGACAAGAGGATTAAGGTGAAGAAGATTGGGACTGCTGACAACCCGGCTGATTTCTTCACTAAGCCTGTTCCGTTTAGCAAGTTTAAACATTGCTTAGACTTGCTAAATATTGATTACTACGTGATGTAGTAGGCCCTGAGGGGCGAAGTTGGGGAGCTCCTGGTGTAGGTGTGTTGGCATTAAGGTGGAGCTTGCCCGGGGCTTGTGATGCAGGTGGAGCATTATGAGTTGTTATACTTGGAGACGAGTATGTGATGGGTCTTGGTTGAAGACTTATCGGGATGTATGGCTTATGCATGAGTCCTGCATCGGGTTTGGCTTGAGATGTTTTTTCACTATGTCTTGATGGGGTCGTTTGCTGACTACGAGTTCTCGTCAAGGTGGAGATTGTTGATAAGTATTAGGTGACTCGTACTTCGTTGCTTTGTCCGCCCGATCGGGCGGACATTGCCCGGTCTGACCGGGCGGAAGAAGAAGAGGTGCCTGGCAAATTCGTTGAAGAAGCTGCTCTCGCGCGCCCGATCGGGCGAGCTTTCGCCCGACCGGGCGAGCCTTCGCCCGACCGGGCGGACATTGCCCGGTCTGACCGGGCGGAAGGGGTTTTTTGGAGTACTTCGGTTGTTGGAAAAGACGTGTTCTCGCGCCCGATCGGGCGGGCCTTCGCCCGACCGGGCGATCTGGGTTTTTTCAGCGATTACGAATTTAATATTTATCATATTGTGATATTGTAACCTAAGTATATCTTAATTAGGAATCACTACTATATAAACTTCCTATTATCATTATTAGGGTAACGGAGAGAGAAACACAAGAGAGAGAATACTTTGAGTGATTAAGTTCTTCATTGTAATCTTTGTAATCTTTGCCAGTTTATAGTGAAATCATTCGATCTCGGTGCCCGTGGACGTAGCTATCACATCGATAGTGAACCACGTAAATTCTTGGTGTTGTTCTTATTGTTTGCATTGAATTTCTTTATTGTTTTCTTGTTTGTTTACGACCTTTGCTTCCGCTGTCGCACAACATTCTGTGTAAGGCACGATAGAAGAAAGGGACGGCTGAGATTTAATCTGGAGAGATGGACGGCTATCAGATAACGATAAATCCAGAGGTTGGGAGGATGACACGTCATTGTTGTCACATGCAGAAGGTATTCGTCAAAATATTGAAATTTGAATGGTTTGGGCGGGAATTAGAGGAGATAGAGTTTTGCTTAGGTTTTTAGGATTTCCGATTGATCACCTGAGTCCAACCATTTGAGGTAGCAGCCACCTCACCATAAAGGGTGCCAGGAGAGTTGCCCAATCCAAATACCTGTTTTCTTCGGCTGTGCAATATCAACCAGAACTTGAAATTCCTTCTCCCTGTATTTGAGTCGAGCTTGATGAATTTTCCAAGAGAGTTCCCTATGTTCTTCAAGAATTAAGGGGCGAAGAATTCAAGAGGGAGGTTAACCCAATCAGGGTATAATGAGATTGATGCTTCCGACGGCTTAAATCCAGGCATCCAAGGTTGAACATCGAGGAAGGTGGAGTTTATAAACCATGGTCCACCTTCAAGGATTTTTGGAAGTAAAGCAGGTGGGGGTTTGACCACAAAGAAGCCTCTACCAATGGCAGAGAGAGAAACCGGTGTGGGTAAATTCCAAAGCACCACCAAGCGCTGGATGAGAAAATCCGTGGCAAAAGATTTCCCCACAGGTTTGATTACTGAAGAAGACCACGGTGATATCAGGGAAGACAGGGTGGAGATAGGGAGAGGGATGAAGGATTCAACCTCAGGATTGAAGGCTTGAGGGTGGTCAGAGGAGCATAGAGGGTGTTCTTTCGGAGGAGGACAGAAGGGCAGCTTTAAAGGTGGTGGCAGAGCGTGGATTGGGTAGGGGTGGAGGTTCAGGAGGGGAGGGTTCTCTTTCTCAATCTCTCTCATGGTTTCGTTCGCATAACCTGAAGCATTTATCTGTGTATGATTATGATGGTGTAAAAATGCCTGGTTGGTTAACCCTTCTTCCAAATATTGTAGAGCTTAATCTGATTAGATGTTCGGAATTAGAGTACTTGCCATGCATGGGAAATTTGGGTCATCTGAAATCCATTCAACTTAGTAATTCAGAAAACTTGGAGTACATAGGAGTAGATGATCCTTCATGGGCTAATTCTTGTTCAGCGATGCCTATATCTGGGTTGGGAAGCTCTGATAAGGAACTATCATTCTTTCCCTCCCTTGAAGAAATTTGGTTAAAAGGTCTGCCCAAGTTGAAAGGATGGAAGACAACAGTGGCAACAAGCTCCAATCACAGCGATTACTACCATGTTTTTCCCAACTGCAGACATTGAAGATATACAGTTGCCCGGAGTTGACATGTCTTCCGTCATGTCCTAATTTGGAAATCCTAGATTTAATCGACCTCAACAAAGGGCTGCAAATAATAGAAAGGAAAAGTGATGAAGTTGCTCCTGCATCCTCGTCTACGTCTACACCCGGTTATGAGATTGTAACTCCCAAATTACAGTGTGTTAGTATCTTCATGAAATGCCAACCAGTTCATCAGCTACAACCAATCAAATGCCCAATCATCACTTCAATTGATCGTTCTTAAGTCTGTTCAGGGACTATCAAACACAGTACATGCTTATGAACTCATCAGTTACTACTGTTCGTTCGTTCGTACGAACTCTTCAAGATCCGTAGGCCATCAATTCATCAGTTTGTATATTTATGTTATAATTAGTAAATGATTGGACCTCCTTTGTTTCCTTTATGATTGATTTGGGTGTGCCACTAATACTCTTCTTTTTAATCATATTTTCTGATTTGATGTAATTTTTCTTATTCAAAGATAAAAGGCTGATTGGTTTTCAGTCACTAACTCAAGTTTAATAAGACACTTGACTTGTGAGCTTAAATGCTAGTGACGATTACTTGATAGTTGATATCTACAAAGTATAGTTTCTGTCTTAACTCTCATGAAACCATCTACTGCTATTTTAATGTACTTCCTTTTGTTGCTTATAAGATATGTCAATTGTCAATAACGTTTCTTCAAATCTACAACATCGTTAATGACTTTTGTTCTGTTGCAGATTAATATTTGCCTTGGATACGTTCACAACAATATAAGAAGTATTATTATCTTAGCGGGAGGAAACAGGTTTCTCAGCTAAGATTTTTGGGTCACTTGGCTATAGTTGTTTTTCAACTGAGTTTCAGATTGATTGGTGTACAGTCAGGCGTCTATGTTGTACTTCGTATAAATCTATGCGCAGCTGGCCTGGAACAGAACTCAAGACGGAAGTGCAATTTCAAGGGACTAGTGTTTAGAAATTCTGTGTAAGTTGGTGCCAATGTACTTGAGCTGATATTATAAGATGTTCAGTGCGTGGTATATTTAAGGCATGATTAGACTGAAAAAGGCAATCCTTTATGGCCTTCTTTGTTTGTAGTCAATCCTGAGGAGGCAAATTCAGAGTGCTATTTTTTTTTTCTGGGATCATGCTCTATTGGAACAGGCAAATAGCCATCCCCAACTTGATCATTTAATTGTTAATCTGGCTGCACAGGCGCACAGCACACCCCTTTCTTAAAATCTGCGTTGGAAGGGCACACCATATGTCGCGAGCACTTTCAAGGTGAAGAATCCTTGCTGAAAAGTTCACCTTGAAAGCTCCCGCTTTATGAATTTTTTTTTTATGAGAAAGCGACATGTGTACAGATTTGGAGAAATATGATGTCAGAATGTTTTGTTTTAGTAATAGTTAATAAGTAATCACAAATTCTTGATTAAGGTGGATTTTTATTAAGTCATTGTAAGATGGGTTAAAGTTTCTCTAAAAATATTTAAAGTTACCCTTTTATACTACAAAAGTTACTATTTTTATAACAAATAATCTTACCCTTAAAAAATATTTATAGTGTATTAGATTAATCATATTAGCCTTCAAAGCATGTATTTATTAGAAATTACACATTAAAATACAATCAAACTTATACAAATTAAAAGTTACCCTTAATGAGATTAAAGTTACTATCAAAATTGTTAAAGTTACCCTTAAATTGACCGTTTTACAATAAAATTAACGTAAGTGACGTGCCTTACACAAGACTTATTGATAAATAATATATAATAAAAACATGATAATCATATTTCCTCTATTTACTGAAGTATTGTGATGAAGTTAATGTATAATAATAGGAACTTGATAAGTTATTTAAAAAGTTAAAAGCAAATTATTATAGAGTCTTATAGATTATTTGTAGCTGTCATTTATATTTATTATTAATAATTATATATATTGTGTATTGAAAATATACAAAAAATATTTATTATTTGACTAAAAATATACTTAATTTAATTTAAGTTATAAGTATAATATTTTAAAGGATAAGCATGAGAGAAATTTTTTTAAAAAAAATTCAAGAGAGGGCTAATGAAGCTAGGACAATTCTTTTTTTTCAAAAAGTTGTTAGGTTTCAACAAATTAAGGTCAGAAACATTCGAACTAAGGTGAAGGAGGAAACAAAAGAGATAGATGCATACACAATGATTGAAGCAGAGAAGATTCATTCGAACTAATCAGAAAAAATTAAAGTCAGAAACATATAATAATTTAGGTGAAGCTGCACATAGAGGGAACACTAATTTTTTTCCATGGGGAAAACCTGATATATTATTATATTGGTTCACGTGATTTTTTAAAGTATGTTTCATAGTTTTATTAGATAACATTAAAATTAATAGTGCGCGGACATTTAATACTATATATATAGTTTTAATATCTAGATATTTTTATTACTATTTTCATTTAGTTTTATCTAATAAAACTAGATATCTAATAAAAATAGTAATACGTGTCACACTTAACCTATTAAACTAGATATTTTTATTACTATTTGTTTAAATTTTATCTTTTTTTTGAAACTAAATGTCTAATAAAAACAGTAATACGTGTCACACATAACCTATTAAACTTTTATAAATAGTGTGTGGATATTTATGCCCTTAAAAAATATTAATTTACTTATTTGATTTCGTTAATGTTATTTGCCTCTTTTTTAAAATTCTTAAGAATAGAATCTGGATATTCATATTTTTTTTTTATTTGCATATGTTCCCCTATTAATGTCATCAACAACTAAATTTGTGATGTAATATTAAATTTTAATAACCTTCTCAGACATAACTAATTATGACACGCATATTGTGTGCGTTTGTTGTCCTAGTACTTCTAACATTACTAGGGAGTAGTGTATTCGCATGTGTGCTAGGTTTGACCGGGGAATATTACCTTGACAAAATGACAACGGTTTCACTTTGGTTCAAACAACAAACTCTAGTATTCTTCTGATTTTCGTATAGTCATATTTCGCCTCGCTGATCTGCTAATTCAATCTTCAACCTTTGTTCAATCAAATCCGAAATGGAGGGAGAAAAAGATGAGAGAGAAAGATTTAAGCAAGTATATCAACAACTGAAGACGGAATTGCTAAAAGATCCTGCTTTTGAGTATGACCATGTCTCCCGTCAATGGCTTCATCAGGTCATTCTTTTCTTCTAATCCTATTTATCAATTTTTAATCTTTGTCTTCTTCGTAATTAATTAACGCTTTCTCATTCTTCAAACAGATGCTGGATTATAACGTTCCTGGAGGTACAATTTTCCATTTTTCAGTGGGATTCTGTGTTTTTGTTATCAGTCGTATATTAATTTATAGTCTCTAATTTTATTTATTTTTTGTAATGAATTTTTGGGTCAGGAAAATTGAATCGGGGGTTGTCTCTAATTAAAAGCTATGAATTATTAAATGACGGGAAACAAATCCCAGAAGATGGCCTTTTCCGTGCTTCTGTTCTTGGCTGGTGCATTCAATGGGTATGCCATTTTTTTTTTATTCACTCAATCAACGGGTCCGTTTGGTATTACTATAGTTTTCTGTTTTCGGAAGTCATACGATATAATATACGGAGTACTTTGTAAAAAATTAAAAATTAGTCAAACCTAACGAAATTAACATTTGACAATTGTTCAGAAAACTAAAAAAAAAATAAAACGACAACGAACAAGACACTCCCATTTCTGGTTTTATGATTTCAGAGAACCTCTGCTACAAATGATCATTACTGGAAACGTAAAAACGACAACGAGTGGTCAAGTATCTAAAAATCATTTTCCTGCTTTGTTTTATTAAAACACTTAACATCCTTCACTATTATATAATATCATATTAGCAAGCTAAAATAAAAAAATTAAACTTATAGCCTATCAATAATTTACAATTACCAATACTAAACAAGTCATTTTGATAAATCATACTTCTTATATCAAAGTGAGAATCATAGTCAGGAGATCATCCTCTTGTTATGATTTTATGTATAGTATTCAACTATAATTAGTCAAATAAAGTATACATACTTTTTGTAAGAACCAGTAAACATAGTTATACAGCTAATACAATTTTACAAGGATCAAAAGACAAACCAAGTTAAAAATAATTAATATTACCTTAATCCATTTATAACAAACAGCTTGTGGGCATGTAACAAACTTTTCTTCATCATTCCACCCAAAACCACTTGCACTTGGGCTAAGCATCTCCGTGATAGCATCAAATTGTTTCTTTAGATGCTTCACTCTTGATTCAATATGAGGCTTGGCTTTTTTCCACATCCAGGCAATTTTTGTAGCATTATAGCTTCTAACTTAGCATAAGCGCCACTCTTAAAATTGACCATTATCCGCTTTCCAACCACCAATATCCCAAAGTTGGCCTCAATAAGTGCACGATCCTATTGACCATCTTGACAGTAATCTAGTAGTATTGCTACTACTACCACCTTGCGTAGAATTTCCTTTTTGAGTAGAAGGTTGACTAATCTGTAAAATGCAACAAATAGAGTACATAATACTACTGTCTATGGAAATATTGTATACTTCAATTTAATAACATCACAAGTGTGTCCAAAACAAAGCATTACATAAGTCAAAACATTGTCATTACATAAGCCAAAACATTGTCATTACATAAGCCAAAACAAACCATTCAATACTTAATATCATGCATTACAAGTAAAAATGCTCAGGAGAAAAGAATTTTTTAACTAGAATTAGTCAAGTGTTTCTGCTTTGAATCCATGCATTATACATGTCATTTGCTAGTTCCTGTCTAAAAGCATTCCACATTCCACTTGTTTCCATAATTTCAATATTATCACCATCATCTTCTATGTTATCTTCAAGTAGAGACTCCATAGGATCAATAGACATATAAGTGCGAATGAAGTTATGCACAAGAGCACAAGCCAAGATAATTCGACTGACGGTCTTTCGAGGATACCAAGTTTTTTGTCTTAGGATACCCCATCTCATGTTTAGTAATCCAAAGCATCTCTCTATGACGTTCCTTGCCTGAGAATGCTTCATGTTGAAATATTCACCTGCTGACACAGGAAGAGCACCACTTTTCCAAATGCTCAAGTGGTACCTTTGGCCTCTAAATGGTGTTAAAAAACCCTCACAATTCATGCACTCAGCATCACATAAATAATAATTAACCTAATACCAAACAATAAAAGCTATAATCATTTCTATTTCATAGAGTTGTTATATGATGTATAGAAAAAATAACTAACTCTATAACCTTGAGGACTTTTAATGGACTTTGTCTAGACAAGGCATCATGTAGTACTCTATTATCATGTGCCGAACCCTCCCAACTAGGTAATAAATATATAAATTGCATATCCCGCGTACAAGCAGCGAAGACATTGGTAGTAAGATCTCCTTTTCTGTTTCTGAACCTAACTTTGTCCTTATCACCTACACGAACCTTAAAGTGTGTGCCATCCAAAGCACCTAAGCAATTCTACAAAGAAAAAAAAATCCCATTTATCACTAAACCAAATCTTCAAACATATATTAATATTTAATTTGCATAGCAAAGATCACTTACTTTAAACCACTTCCACCTATCATCTTGACAATTTTTAGTCACTGCTGTAGGTTTTTTTGAACAAGATATGATGACATCTAAGGAGAGCTTGTAATACTAAATTGAAATGCCTTGAAACAGTCTCACCACTTATTCTAAAGTGTTACCGAATTCTTCGATTTTTGTATCATGAGAAAGTGTAAAGAGAAATAAAGCCACCATTTCATCCAAACTAGTGTTCCTATTTCCTTGCAACTTGCCAACATCCCTAAGCATCTCACATAACTTATAAAAACAAGCCCTATCCATTCTAAGGTTATCCAAACATGCTATGTCACTCCCTTGGATCATAGGTCTAACATTTAAAATTCTAGCGGTTATCCGGTTTTCAAGTGTATCATCAAACACAAAAGATATTGGCTTAGGAACTTTAATATTTGTAATGGAAAGAAGATACATGAGTTGAAGTAATGTAGCCATAATCATGACCATAATCTGCCTATATATCACAATACAAGTCATTGCAATCTTCTTTTGTTTACTTAAAGGGATGCGAGCCATCACTGTATTGCAAAAAAAAAAAAAAAATTACAAACTCAAAGATTATGATCAAAGATGCAAATATCTAGTAAATCAATAGATACTACACTAGCTATATAAAACAATATGAATTTAACAGAGGCTACTATCATTCCATAGGCCACACAATTAAAAATAAACAAGCACTTACAAATTATATAATTAAGCACCATTTGTTTCTACTAAGAAATAGATACAAACATGACCATGATTCTAATTAAATGCATCACCATAAACCTTGCATATAAGGTGTTTAATAACATTAGAAAGAAAAGCTGACTAGTCTAGCAAGCTCCATAATACCTCAACAATAATAATCAAACCAAATAGGTATTGATTAGGGGATTTTTATCCACCAAGCGCCGTTTGACAAGTGGACCAACCAGGTTCCGCCACGCGTCCTCCACGGACCACTTAAGACACGCCACGTGTCCACCCATGCCAAATGGGACAACCGGCCATCAAGGCCCATTTCAGTCTAGAAGCCCGATCGGCCCTAGGTTTACCTTAAACCTAGAGAGTTGCACGCTTCCCAAGGCTATAAATACTCGATTAATCCTCATTAATCAAGGGACCGAAGAATTTACGGAACACACTAATAACCGGCTGATTTCGCTAGCAAAGCAGATTACCTACATTAAATACTCTCACCTAGAGAGACCTTATTACTTTAATTTCTGTGTTAATTACTCCTTAATCAGGTACTAACTTGACCGTTGGAGGCGGAGCTCTCAGGAGTCTCCGTTATTTTGCAGGTACAGGCGTCCGGTTCCAGTCTCGGAATTGTAACTCTCCCGCAGGACATCAGAAAACCCCGAAACATTTGGCGCCGTCTGTGGGGAGAGTACTTCAGAGATGGCATCCAAGTCTGTACCGACCCCAGAAGAGAGGCGTCCCCTAGACGACCCTCAAGTTCAGTCGGACCATGATACCGAAAGTGAATTTGAAGTTGAAACTCATACAGCTCCAGACGGGACCCTAAGGGCCCGCCGTACCCGTCATACTGAAATAAGGGAACGGGAGTATCTTCAAACAGGAAGCGAGCCAGCAGGCGCACCGCTTGCTCGGCAACAGCCGACTGATGGGTCTGCTCCCATCACAAGGAACGAACTCATGACCTTCATGAGGGGATTCAAGGGAGAGATCCAAGAGTTGATCAACAAAAAACCGCCTGCTTCAGTCAAAGAGCAGGCGGCCAAAAAACCTTCCACTTCACTGAAGAGGAAGCCAGTTCAAGGGCGAGAGGCGACTCCCCATCCTAAATCTAAGAAGCGGGAGCCGTCTGCTCTTGATTTCACAAAACTCCGTTATCCTACGGGAAATAGGAAACCGGTTCGTCATATTCAGGCGGACGGGTCAAAGCAAACGTTCACAGATGCTCGGCACCTGCTAGAGCAGAAGAAGAGTGACCGATTATCAGAGTCGGCTTCTACTTCAAATTTTCAGGACAGTTTGCGAAATGCCTCGATGAGGCCAACTCAGTCGTACCATGAGAGTCAGTCAGGCGGCACCTCCCGTCAGTCTGGCTTTCATAGTGCGCAGGCGGTACCAAATTTACCATTTGTGCCGCAACAACAATATTTTATGCAGCCACCTCCATTTGGTGGACCTGCAGCAAAAAACGTCCAACCTATGGACTGGCAGCTACGGCTGCTTAGACTTGGTGAACAGCCGTCGGCCTTCTCCAAGGAAATTACTGAAGCCGCTCAGCCGGCCAAAGTAAAAAATGTTTTAGTAGGCGCCTATGATGGCACTACTAACCCGGAAGACCATCTGATGGCATTCACCAACCTGATGTACCTTCAAGGGTTGGATGATCCCACTTGGTGCAAGTGTTTCCCAGCAACTCTCAAGGGAATTGCACAGCAATGGTTCGGCAACCTGCCGACTGGTTGTGTAAACAGTTTCAGGACGCTTGCTTACTTATTTGCCTCCAACTTTGCAATGAACATCCCTGCGAAGAAAACGACCCTTGATTTGGGAACAATTCAGCAGGGTGAAAAGGAGGGGCTTCGTTCCTACATCAGGCGGTTCAACCTGATGAGAATACAGATTCAAGGATTACCGGATGAGGTAGCTTATACTGACTTTTTTAGAGGTCTCAAAGACGGGTCTACTTCAAATTTGATTTAGTTCGAAAAAGGGTGGCGACTCTTCAAGAGGCCTTGATTGAAGCAGAAGCCTATATACAGGCGACTGATCTGTGTACAATGAAACAGTCGGACGGGAAGAGGTTCGACAATAGAGAAGGACGACAGAAACAGTCGTCCAACAAAGATGAAAAAAGAAAAGGGGTCTGGGCGGCTGATTCCTCTAAACAGCCGGCCAAGAAGAAAAAGGAATTCAAACCATACTCCCAAAGTATGTGTTTAACAAGGATAACCAGTTTATCCTAAAAGAAATAAAGGGACGGCTCTCAATTGAGAAACCGCCCCCCATGAAGGGTTCTGCGAGCAACCGGACCAAGACAAAATCTGTGTTTATCATGATGACATTGGTCATCACACCAACGACTGCATTAGTCTCATGCGGTACCTAGACCGCTTGGCTGATCAAGGTGATCTTGACACTTATGTCAAGAAATCTACGGGGAATACTTCCTCAAAAAAGCAGTCGGCCAAAAAGAATCAACAGGCCGACAGTTCCGATACAGATGATGCAGTCGTCTACACCATTGCAGGCGGCTTCTCAGGAGGCGGCCCCACTATTAGGGGCAACAAAGATAATATAAGGCGGTTAGATGTAAATTCCGTTCACCAAGAACGACCGTCCAAATATACATTTCCTGAGATTGTCATCACTGAAGAGGATCTAGGAGGAATAAGGGGGCCGCATGACGACCCTCTCGTTATTGAATGTAAAGTGGCCAACCAGAGAGTTGGTCGAATCCTCATAGATACTGGGAGCTCTTCAGATCTCATCAGCAGCAAATGTCTGTCAAAACTGAAATATCAGACGGACTGCATACATCCGGCCTCCCACCCTTTAATAGGGTTTGGAGGAGGAGTCGTCCACCCACTGGGACGAGTTGATCTACCCGTCCGCCTGGGCGAAAAAGGGGAAGGACGACACATGGTAGTCCGATTCCTAGTTGTAGAGGAACTCTCTGCCTACAACATGATTCTGGGTCGCCCAACCCTGAATAGTGCCAAGGCTGTTATAATCCCGTCACTTATGCTGCTTAAGTTTGAAAGGGACAATGGAACAGTCGGCTCCCTAAGGGGAGATCAGAGGATGGCCCGAGAGTGCTATCTCTCGGATGTCAAACCCACTGCTAAGGCCACTGGGTCAAGTGGAGAAAAAACAGACCTTGACAACGTCAAGGAAAGTGCGCCTGTTCAAGAAACAGGCGACAGAAAAAGAAAGGCGTCCCAGACAGAGTCCGCCAGAAAGGCAAGAAAATAGCAATCATTGGCAGAGGACCGGCCGGATGAGTTCCGCCCTCAGCCGGCTGGTGAGCATACGGACCTGATATTAGACGACTCCCGCCCTGACCGAACAGTCAAAGTTGGGACGACTGCTCTGAGAAACCTTGGTGATGACTTTCACAACCTGTTGAAAGAATACAAGGACATCTTTGCATTTGAAGTCCATGAAATGCCAGGCATTAGTCCTGATCTGGCAGTACACAAACTCGCTGTGGATCCAAAAAAGAAGCCGGTACGGCAAAAGAAGCGGAACCATGGTGAAGAAAGAGGTCAGGCGGCCGCCGCCGAAGTCAAAAAATTACTTGATGCAGGGTTCATTCGGCAATGTTACTTCCCAGATTGGGTTGCAAATGTGGTACTTGTTAAAAAGCCGAATGGCACCTGGCGAATGTGTGTAGACTACACAGACTTGAACAAGGCGTGCCCCAAAGACAGTTACCTCTGCCCAAAATTGATAACCTGGTCGACTCAACAGCCGGCCATGCCTTGATGAGTTTTATGGACGCCTATTCTGGTTTTTCATCAAATTCCTTTGTGGAAGAAAGATCAGGAGAAGACGGCCTTCGTCACTGATCAGGGATTATACTGTTATACGGTCATGCCGTTTGGTCTTAAGAATGCCCCGGCTACATTCCAACGAATGATAAACACAGTGTTCTTTGATCAGATTGGGAGAAACGTCGAGGCATACATTGATGATATGATTGTTAAGACTAAACTTCAGAAAGATCATCTGACGGACCTCCGAGAAACTTTCGCCACACTCAGGCGGCACCATGTCATGCTCAATCCCAAGAAATGTGTATTTGGAGTTGAGTCTGGGAAATTTCTCGGATTCCTTATCAACCAGAGAGGAATAGAGGCGAACCCTGAGAAGGTACAGGCGGTCGTTTGACATGCAGTCGCCTCGTACCGTCCGAGAGGTTCAGAAGTTAACAGGTTGTCTGGCGGCCTTGGGAAGATTTCTAAGCCGATCAGGCGACAAATGCCTATACTTTTTCCAGGCAATTAAGAAAAAGGCAAGGTTTGAATGGGGGCCGGATGCTGAGGCCGCCTTCCAGAAATTAAAGGTTCACTTGCATTCCTTGCCAAGGCTGGTCAGCCCTTTGCCCAAAGAAAATCTCTACATGTACCTGGCCGTCTCTGATCATGCGTTAAGCGCGGTGCTCCTTGCTGAAAGGGACGGCTGTCAACTTCCGGTCTACTTTGTCAGTCACGTACTGAAAAATGCCGAGTTGAGGTATCCCCTAGTGGAGAAATTTGGTCTTGCACTCTTCATGGCTGTTAAAAAATTGAAGCCCTACTTTCTGGCACATGCAGTCGTCGTGTATACCGACCAACCGATCAAACGGCCCCTTACCACCATGGAGTCCTCCGGACGAATGATCAAATGGGCCATAGAAATGCAGAGTCTCGAAGTTACTTTCGAGCCTAGAAAAGCAGTGAAGGGGCAAGCCTTTGCTGACTTTATTGTAGAGATGACTCGTCCTCCTGACTCTCAAGTTCCAGACCAAGTCTGGAAGGTATATGTGGACGGAAGCTCTACTTCAAACGGTTGTGGAGCAGGCGTCGTATGTCAATCTCCAGAGGGCGACAGGTTCGAGTATGCTCTACGCTTCAGTTTCCAGGCTTCAAACAATGAGGCAGAATATGAAGCTTTACTAGCCGGGATCCGCATGTGTAAGGCGGCCGGGGCAAGGAAAATAGACGCCTGTTCTGATTCACAACTGATAGTGAGTCAGTACAATGGCGAATACGAAGCAACACATCCGGCCATGATCAAATATTTACAGGCGGTCCGACAAGCAGTCGGCTCCCTTGAGGATTTCCATCTGATCCAAGTACCGAGATCAGAAAACAACCAGGCAGATGCACTCTCGAAATTAGCATCATCCGCCTCCTCCGATACTCCTCGAACTGTGTTTTGGGAAGTAAT